ATATATATATATATATATATATATATATATATATATATATATATATTTTAGAGGTTTACATAAAACATGCCAGTTTTTACAACTTGCCATCTGACTGAGGTGAGAAGGTCTGAGCCTCCCAAGTTCCCCCAAAACTATGCTGTCTGAGGAAGTTTGCTCCTAGTGTGGGGTTAGGGTCTAGTTCAAGGAGAGATGGTAGAAAAAACTGATTCAGTAACCCTGGAAATGACTACAAGACCTAGAAACCATAATACCTAGCTTGGACTAGGGATGCTCTTGAACCATAACTGGGGAAGAAGCTTATCAGCGAGTAGGCTATGGCTTTAAGAGTGGGATAGCACTGGGCTGAAACTGTTAGGAGACTACCATAGTTGGTGACAAATTGCAGGAAAATTGTGAGAAAATACTTAACTTTTAAATTACAGTCTCACTAAACTGAGTGCAACCAAATAATCAATGACCCATGTAGCTGAGTTTTGAGGAACCAGTTTTGAAAGACAGTGGCCTATTTTTTGTTCACGACTTGTAAAACTGTATTCTTGGCTGTGCACGTTATTTTGTTGTCCACCACTGCGTACATCGTACCTGCCTTAGCTCCTTTTGCACCAACTTTGGCAGCCGCCAACACACAATTGGGAGACTCCCACATAAAGGCAGTTTGCTAGCTTGTTGCATCGCACTGAGATACCACATTTATTGATGGGTTCTGGCCAGGCACAGCCCTGACGAGCTACATGGGACCACCCTCCTGTGGACCTTCCACCTACAGGAAGCACTAAGGGACCAGTGCATCTTTGGTTAATAAAAATGGTAGAACAGCTTTATTTCTCCCCTGTAACATTTAAACATACCGTATTTTCCGCCATACACGTTGCTTCGCTCTATAAGTCTCATCAGTCCAAATATGTCTAATAAGGTGGAAAAATCCATAAATACGTTGCTTCGCCGTATATGTCCCATTTATTATGCGTCACTGCTGACGCTTCGCTTTTGTTACGCGTCACCGCTGACAACCAGGAAATGTGGGACGAACCTGGAAACGTGGGCCGGTGTTGTGCCAAAAATCGATTTGCTGTCAAATGGCAGCCGTGAGAGCATGCACGGGAGGACTTAAACAAGAATTTAACAAGATTAACACTTAAAAACAATTATTTATTTGCTTGAAACTGTAGTAAAGGTGTGTCTCAGTCTAATTTTTGCTTAAGAAATGCACTTTGATGGTCAAATCAGTTGCATTTTCAAAAGTCGATACGCAGCAACTCGCTGTCCATTTCTTCAAAATTTAACAAGATAACCACCTAAAACAATTATTTGTTTGCTCAACTTTATAGCAAAGGTGTGTCTCAGTTGAACTTTTGCTTAATAAATGCACTTCAATGGTCAAATCGAATGCATTTCGCTGGAGCGGTGCAGCGAAATGAAGCTGATTTGATGGTTGCTCTAGGCAGACGACAGTGGCAACTATGACAAGCCAATTGTGCCATTAATAGCTACTTTTACCTATTACATGATACAACGTGCAATACTACTCGACTGCCATCTAGAGGCTGAAAATGGTAGTGTTCAATATTTTCAGCCAGAATGAATGAAAACGGTCATATCTCAGCCAAAAATTGATTTATAAATCCATCCATTATCTTTACCCGCTTATTCCATTTTTGGGTCACGGGGGTCGCTGGTGCCCATGTCCAGCAATCACTGTGCGAGGGGCGGGGTACACCCAGGACGGGTCGCAAGTCCATCACAGGGCCACATAGAGACAAACGAGACAAACAACCATTCACTCACTCACACCTAGGGACAATTTAGAGTTACCAATCAGCCTAACATGCATGTTTTTGGTCTGTGGGAGGAAACCGGAGTACCCGGAGAAAACCCACGCATGCACGGAGAGAACATGCAAACTCCACCCAGAAAGGCCCCTGGACCGGGGTTTGAACCAAGGACCTGCTCGCTGAGAGGCAGCAACTCTACCAGTTGCGCCACCGTGCTGCCCTGATTTATAAATATTGGAAAAAAAATCCATAAATACGTTGCTTTGGCCTATAAATTGCAAAGCATTCAAATTATGCAAAAAAAAACAAACTGTGACATATAGGGCAACAAATATGGTACTCTGGACATTAAAGGACAGCTGATTTGTTTTTGCAGTCACTGTTTTGTTCATAAAAGCAAAAGAAATGTCACTTATCAACAAATTATGTTCGGATTGTTTTAATTAATTAATTAATTAATTCAACCTTTATTTAAACAGGTTAGTCCCATTGAGCCATAAGAACTCATTTACAAGATAGACCTTTAGCCAACATAACATTTCCCACAATGATTTGTGCATAAATCAAGGAAGACATTAGAGCTGTTTATTTCCAATGTCTGAGAGTCACTCACCGATGTTGTGTATCTTGATGTTTGGCCTGACTGTGTAGTCGGGAGAAGTCTGACTGGAGTCGTCATCTGCCTGGGAGGCTGAGCACAACACAAACACACAAAGACGGACAGACGGAGAGAGAGGCGGGAGGAAAAAAACAGACGAGAAACAGTTATGTGACAAAACAAACAGTGAGATTGAGACAAAGAAAAATAGATTGTCAGGCACTATTACATTTTATACATCCATAAAGTGTGGGGGAGATAAACTGCATCTGCCTCACAGAAAGAGTTAATCCACACTCCAACCTGCGGATTAAAATCATTTATTGCCCAAGTGGGGGGACAGAAATCATTATTGCACTCACCGTTTGTCTAGACGTGGAATTAGATTCAGCAGAGCCGAATGATCCGTGTGGTTTGTTGACGTTTGCATGCATCGGTCATGTTTATTGCACAAAATAATCACGACTGTGACGTTCATTATGAAAATCGCATTTACAAAAAAATACAGAATCACAGTTTCGCAGCAGGAAAGTCATACATTTTTACAGTCTCATCCTGAAGCCTCCAACTGTCAGGGTTGCAACACAAAGGGAACGAAGGGCAGCTAAAGTCAAAAGTGCTTCTGATTCAAAATGACTCAAAGGCAGTGCACTCGTCAGGACGTGCGCACGCCTTAAGATGGATTTAAGGCAAAGATACAGCCAAACGTGAAACACAGATGCTGGATAGATAAGCAGTGAACGCACGGATGTGCTGAGGTGATCTGTACACGGAGGCTGACGCTGGCCTGAGTGGGACGTATTAGGACTGACAAGGTTAGAGGAGAAGGGAGGGGAGGCTTTCACTGCTGTGCTGCCTGATCAAAGGCCTGCAGGGGGTGTGTGTGGGGGGGAAGCAAGGCTACCAGGGTAAAAATAACACGCTCGCTATACAGAGCAGCAGGCATCAGCGAGGAAGCAAAAGAGAAGGAAGAATAAACAGAGGGGGTGGTCGAGAAGAAAGCCGAGAAGAGAGGAAAGGAGCATCTAGGTTTCTGAATCTAGTTTCCCTCCTTTACATATTTTTTTACACACAGACAAAGAGCATTACTGTAGCACTGAGACAGAAAACAACATTAGACTGTCACTCTCGATGCTCTGCTTTGAAGGAAAACAAACTGCATCATCAAAATCAAGACAGCCTGAGGCAGACTAAGACAAGACGCTCAGATTTTATTTATTTATTCGTTTTTGTTGCTGCCTGCATCTTTCTCCATCTTCTTTTCGACGCAGGACATAAAGAGAGTGGATGTGACGTGAAGTGGTCTCACCAGTGGAGCAGCAGACGAAGATCCTCAGTCTCAGGCAGCTGTGGCCGTGGTGATGGATGGGTGTGGCTAAAAGAAAGAAAACACACACACAGTCAACCTTGTGCCCTCTGCAGGCTACAGGCCCGTCTACTACCAGCTGATGCACTTCAAACCATCCTCAGATGAATTTCCACAATCTATTACGGCAAGCTAAAAGGGACAAATAAACCAACTTATTTAAGTGATGCAAGAACTGCTATTTAATCAGTCGGTTAAAAGAGTGTTTTATGTTTTATACCATTTTAAATACTTATGAGCTGTAAAAAAAAAAAAAAAAAATGTGTTAATTGAACTTAGAATTTCCCAGCACTTGTAAACAAATGTATATTGCGCAACTCTGTGACATAAAAAGCAATGTTCAAAAGTCCACAAATGTATTTTTGCTCAGAAGGAGGCATCCTTAATGGCAAAAAAATACTGTATTCTGGCAGGGTCTTGTTTTATTTTAAGGCATCATGACATTAAATGGCATTTATTTCATCGCTTTTGTAATAGGGACACTAATTGGCCTTTCTGGCTTGCCACAATCTTTTAGCAACATGCAGTCAATAGTTGTTGGCAAAAAGACACTGCATTGTAGTCTTAAGTAAAAATACTTCGACACCTTTAGGCATTTTCCATCCATCAATGTGTTTACTGCCCTGACTCACAGATGTAGTAGTACTCCTGGCCCACGTTGAACTCGTAGCCCAGCGAGAAGGCGCTGTAGCGCTGGAACTTCTCTGAAAACTTGATGGGCGCATGGGGTGCGTGAGGCCGGTTGCACTCCCAGCGTTTGAAGCCCAGCTGGGGGTCACAGGTGAAGTAGCCGCGGTAGTTGACCATGTAGAGGATGTACTGCTCGGCGACGACGCGCTCCAGCATCCCGCGCTGACTGGTGTTGTAGTGCGGGCAGTAGATGTCCAGGTAGTCGTTGACACTGACTTGGACCGTGTAGCCCTCCCTCCGAAGCCTGGAGTTAAAAATACAAAGATATCAGTCATTCAAAATTCATTTTTTTTATGTGGTATACATTCAAAATATTGCTTTTATGTTGCTTTTTATTTTCTTGACATTGTTTGCAATTGAACTATTTTTGTATATTTTATCCATTCATGTATCAAAACATTCAGCTCATTCAGGAGATGGATCTGTTCACTTTCATACTTTACCAAATACTGTAACATTATATTTTCTCTAAACGTAGGCATGCTTATTGTTCTTCCTGATACCTGATCCAGCATACTTGCTGTATTTTTATTAATTTTTTTGCATATTTTGCTAAACTTAGAATTTTTTTTTTAGCTTGTAGCAAGTCTGCTTCTTTTAGCTTTTGCCTGGCTTTTCACTACATTTAGCTTTAAGCTAGTGTTTTGATACTTTTGCCTTTTTTGCTAGTGTTAATCTTTTAGTTTTAACGAGTCAGTTTCAGTTTATACAGTAAAATTCAACACGCAGTCGTTCAGTTCTCAGCAGTCATGCAGTATTTTCACACAAAATTTATTTTCTCTAGTTTGCTTTAGTTTTTTTTTTTTAAGAACAATTAAGCTGCAATAGTGTGCGTGACTTGGTACTAATTTCATACTATTTTTAAAGAAATATTACAGTATCCAAATGCAGGATAAAAAGTTTTTGTAAGTTTCCCACAATGCAAAGCATTAGTGAAGGCTGTGGGAAGAGTGGCTACAACGTTATTAAAACTGAAATTTAGTTAATGGTCCATTTAGGCAAATGTACTTCTTTAAAATCCTGTATGCGTGTGTTATCATTGTAGATGGTTGCCATGGCAACATATCCCTAGATGGCAACAAAGTTCCTAAGAAAGTGCCATGATGATACTTCAGATGCAAACTCCGGACATCCATGCTCACGTTTAGTATATTAAAAAATATCCTCTTTTTTCTTTTTCTTTTTTTTTTTTTTAACTTCACAAACAAAAAGGTGATGTTGAGTTTTCATTTTCAACAAAAATGTGAACAAAAACATTTCTTAAAATAAAAAAAAATCTCAGTCTCTAGTAATTTTACGATCTGACAGTAACAAAAAACAGAAAACGCTCCTCACAATGCGAAGCTTGATGAAATAGTTGAGTAACAGCTTTATTAAAATATTCAATAACTTTCTGCCCATCAACAAACTGGTGGACTGGCAGCAAATTATAGCGCTGAACAAAACATAAAATCAATTCTCTTCACTTCATGACTTCATTATTTGACAGAACTGCAACGTCTTACTCTTTTTTTGTTTAAAAACACACATTTTCTCACTTTAATGCCACGTTGAGGATAATAATCCACACTATGTGTCCCACCCGCCCTCGAGCCTGGCTGGGTCATTGATGTAGAAGACAGTCCTGTCAACGACGATGTATGCTCTGGCTTCTAGGGGAACCGGTCTGCACACAGTGTTTATCAAATTTCCTCCGGGAGCCATTACCAATGATTGAGCAGGCTGTTTGCAGGTAAGAAGATCCACTCTATGGTCAAGCACATGTGTGCATGTGATGATGGTAGCAGAAACACAGAGGAGGACGTGACTGCAGCAGCCATGCTGCTACTCACACTGTTTATAATACTAAGCACACCTATTATTTAAATTACACAATCTGTAATTAGACAGAGTAGAAGTCATTACAAAGGCTCCTGCAGGTGAGCTGATGAGATGGGAATTGTCTTCTGCTTCACTCATGTGCAACTTGCGCCAGCTAGCTGTAATGACACATATGCACCACCAGGTGGTAATATGGTGCTGATTATGTGTGCCCCCTTCATATCTTTATGGTCTTTTATTAACATTATCTGTTATAATATACAGAAAAAGTCCCACTTATATACATCTATAACTATCCGCCCTGGAGTAAAGATTGTGTCAGCACATAAAGTTGTCGCCAGGCCCAGATAACCAAGTTCTTAAATCTGGTGTGATGCATAATAGATTTAAAATATAAATGAAGCCTGCATGGCATAACACCTCTTCTTTTCTCTCCTTGTCTTTACCTGTGGTGGTACAATTTTGGTTTTGGTTTAATTTTCTGGATGCTGTCCTCTGCTCTGATACCTCCTCTGATGATAAACCCTTCTTTTCTCTTATGCAGAGGCACGTTGGTACATTTAACCAGTGCTCTTTTACAGCCATCACTCATCGGCGCCTTCTATCCCCGGCTGCTGCATGACAGACTTTTGTCTTGCAATGTTGTGGAAAGAGACAAGAGATCCACGCATCAAAGGGACTATATTTAGAAAGGAGGGGAGTAAAAGTGATGGAGAAGGGGGGGGGGGGGGGTTTGAGTAAAAAGTCAGAGAAAGTCAAATGGTGAGTAAAATAGTAATGACTGAAGAAGTAACGAGGGGAAGTTGGATACAAAGATATGGTTTTTTTGTAATAAATTAGAATTTTTCAAAGGAATATATAAATTCATTAGATAGTTTGCTAACAGATAAGCAGTGTTGACACCAACAGATATTGTGCCATCAGTCAACACTCAGAACATGTGCTCAGCTACTACCACACCAAGGTTTAGCTCAGTATCTGTACAACAGACTGTGTCAGTCAGTTGTGTATTTGAAGGTCAGCTGGCTACAAAAGCCATCCTGAGTTGGGTTGACTACAGGATTATAAGTAGTTCATTAGATACTTAGCTAACAGATGGACACACAAAGCATTATTCTCTTTTTCAATGGCAAACAATACGGAAAGCCACGAATCTTTAACTGAAAAGAAGAAGAGGTTCTTCAAGTGGGGATTAAACAGTATTAGATTAAATGCTAAGATTATTTATTTAATCAACATTAATTTTATCAGTGTGTAAAACAGTGTGAACAAGATTAACCTGCACTGACTCTTCCCAAGTGTTTGATTTGCTTTGGGAGCATTTAGAAGTTGATTTTGGTATCTATAAAATAAAATAAAAAAATAAAAAATCAGCATTTGATCATAAATTTTTTGATTAATTTTCTGCTTCTTGTCTAATTATTTCCAAACTAAATGAAAAAAGGACCAGCCACAGACACTCAGCAGGAGGAGCAGCCGTCTCAAACCTAATCAGCATCAATAGGAGAGGAAGAAGAGGTCAGGTGGAGCAGCAAACTACAGGACAGGAAAGGGTGGAGCTGTGTGTGTGTGTATGTGTGTGTGTGGGGGGGAGGGGGGAATATGGAAGCCCCTTTAGATGTACACTGTATTTAGTGGCACTAAACAGGAGAAGAAAAAATGATGGGGGAGGAGTTTGAGACAGATTTAATATCGTAAGATACCAGAAGAGGAGGGATGAAAATGCACTGAGTGATGGACGACAAAGAGCCAGACAAGAAAGAATAAAAGGCCTAGACAGAGACGCAGCCCTCCCTTGAGGTGGACATGCATGTTGTAAACGTGCATTACAAAAACAAGTGATGGCTCTCTTCCTCATGTTGCGTCTGTTTCCCCCTGCAGCTCCTTCCTATTATCCAGTTCTCCTCCTCTCTTTGTGCTCCGCATCGTCTCTGCGGTGGTTTTGCTGTCTCATCATCATTTCCCTACGAGTAGGAGTGCACAGCTAGTTAGTAAAGGCTGCACAAGCTGGTGAAGACTGCCAGGGGAGGCAGAAGGCAGGGGGAGGATGGGGTGGGGTGGATGGAAGACTTGAGGGAGGAGGTGAAGTAAGTGGAGGGAACAAGGAAGGAAGAATGAGACAAAGATAGCACCGCTGCACCTTTCACATGTGAACTAAAAGGAGTCTTCGGAGAGTGCAGACCATAATAAATAAAACTGAAGAGGTAGAGCAGAGAATGCTTACAGACAGAAACACCCCCAAGAGTTCTTTGAGAAATACTTAAAAGTAAAAAGAATTAGAAATCGCTGTAACATTTCATTTATCAAGTAATGCCAGGTTTCAGGTTAGAAAATGTTCGTTCCCCGTTTCCTTCTGAGGAGCTGCAGGAGGATTGAAGCAGGTCCAGGATGTGTCAGCTTGGTGCAGAAGTCTGCTGTGGTGGAAGAGGCTTCAGCTTTTCTAAGAGTATAAAAATACAATACCAACCGTCTCAAAAATTACTATTTATATTACTGGCTGTGCTTGTTAGGAACAGCCACAGGTAGTCTCTGGCAGAGGTGTTGCTCAGCGTTGATGGTTGTATGAGCTGTGAGATTTCCAACAAACCAACCCTGGTTTTGTCTGGGTATCATTTTTTTAAAATATATGTTACAGCTGATTGAAAACTTTATCGGATGGAACAGGCTATCGTAGCTTTGGTTTTGTAGTTAAAACACACAAATACTGTAATTTCTGGACTATCGAGCGCACCTGAATAAGCTGCGCCCGCTAAATTTAAAAAGAAATGTAAACTTTTACATAAATAGGCCGCACTTGTCTATAAGCCGCAGGTGTTCACGTTGTAACATGATATTTACATAGAAAGATTTTTTTTTTCACTTTTAATTAAATACGTAACGGTAACACGCACAAATACAGTAAATGTTTTTTTGTCTGAACAGTGCATGTTTTTTTTTTTGTTGTCTGAACCGTGCTTTTTGTTTTGTCTGAATCGTACATGTATTTTTATCTGAACAGTGCATTTTTTTGTCTGAACCGTGCATTTTTTTTTGTCTGGACAGTGCATGTTTTTTTTGTCTGAACAGTGCATGTTTTTTTTGGTCTGGACAGTGCATGTTTTTTTTGTCTGAACAGTGCCTGTTTTTTTTGTCTGAACAGTGCAACACGGCTTATAAAAAAAATAAATACAGTAGTCTACCAGTAAGTCATTGATCGCTACCTCCCAAGAGAGACTTGTATTGGGAAGCTATGTGAACGCCTGGGTGTGATGAAGCTAAATGTTTTGGTGGCATTAAGCTCGTTAGCCCATCAAAAAAAAAAAAAAAAATCCATGAATTAGCTGCAGCATTGTATATGCTGCGGTGCTCGAAGCGTGTGACAAAAAGTAGCGGCTTATAGTCTGGAAATTATGATATATACAATGGTAAATATTCACACTTGTT